ACACACACACACACACACACACACACACAGGAACAGCGCCTAGGCCCTGAGTTCAAGTACACATACACACACACACACACACAGGAACAGTGCCTAGGCCCTGAGTTCAAGTACACACGTACACACACACACACACACACACATAGACACACACACACACACACACACACACACCCGTCTACCTTTAACCTTCTTTTAACCAGTCTTTTATTTTTCTGTTGTTCAGGTTTTTGTTGTTTTGCGGGGGTGGGGGGTTTGGTTTTTTTGCCTTGTTTTGTTTGGCTGGTACTGAGACTTGAACTCAGAGCCTTGCACTCCTGCTCAGCTTGCTTGCTTATGGCTGGCACTCTGTCATTTGCCCACCCCTCCAGACTGACTTTTTGTTGGTTAATGGGAGATGGAGTTGGGGACTTTGCTGTGCTGGCTGGCTTGTAATTGCAGTCCTCCAGGTTTCAGCTTTCTGAGCAGCTAGGTGTTAGCTTCTGTCTCCTGGCTCTCAGCATTGTTTTTCACTTCTTGCTTTTTTTGGGAAATTATTTGATAGCATACTAATAATAAATCTAATGTTTAAAGTGTCTTTCTTTTGTCTTGTTTCATTTAGAAGTTATTCATTTCTAATAATGGGTTCAAATAAAATTTCATTTCTTGGCTTTCTTTGTTTTATATAGGAATTCCTGTGTAATTGTAAATAATCAAAATATTGGAGCAGATTTTCCCTGGAGGAGTTTCTCATTTGTTGTGGAATACAATCATGCAGGACATTCATGTTGGAAGATGCATTGTGAAAAGTTGAACATTCCCTTTGTGGCCTTTAAAGTGATTCTTCCAGACACAGTCTTAGCCAGTAAGGAGACAATTCAAAATCCTGTTTTGTTCCATTAGAATAAAATTTTTCTACTTTGCATTTATCACCTATAGAAAGAAAATCCTTCCTTTATTCAGAGTACTTTTTATTATATTTTTATGCAATTGCTCGAACATGTACTATTATTATGTTTAGTGATATTTTTTTAAAAGAGAAAGGTCAGATGGTGGTCCAGAGAGTAAAGGGAGGAGAAGGAGGAGGGGAAACTGGAGTATTAAAAAATTTACAAAATAAAAAAGATGCTGGGCACCTGAGCTCACGCCTGCAATAGTAGCTACTCAGAAGACAGAGAATGGCCATTTGGAACCAGCTCAGGCAGGAAAATCCATGAGGCACTTATCTCAGAAGTGGTGCTGTGGCTCAAAAAGTGGTAGAGCTCTAGACTTGAGCAAAAGAAGTTCAGGGCTAGCACTCAGGCCCTGAGTTAACCCCTACAACCAACAACAACAAAAAAAGAAAATATAAATTTTTTCTTATCTAGGAAGTACCGTGCTGGATAGATTTGGTGGTTTTATTTTGGGAATTCAGATTCCATATGTGTTTTTTGCAACTGAAGGACTTCTTAATACTCCAGAAATACTTCAACTGCTGGAATCTAAGTAAGTTATTTATTTTATAACTTTAATAAATGTTGCATATATTTATGTTGGCAGGGTATATTATCCTGTGTATGTAGCATTATATCTCTCTGCTTTCTATCTGGAATTATACCATGTGAAAATAGTTTTCCAGAGAATTTGTATTAATTTATACTTCTATGAGCTTATAAGAAGTAGTTAAAACATAGGCAAGAGCCTATAGATTTGGGTTATAGAAGTGAGCTTAGTATGTGTCAGGCCATAGGTTCAATCCTCAGTATCCTCCCCTCAGACCAGTTTAAGGAAAAAAATAAAAGAAAACTAAGAATGGGAAATGTTTTAGTCTTACAATGTTTTGATTTCATAAGTTATTTCTTAAGAGATAAATACCATGTTAATGGTAGAGCACTAGCCTTGGCACGAAGGCCACATACATCTAAACTTTTATACAGAATACTCATAGTTTCTTTATTAAATTTTATAATAAATTAATATATTAAGAAAATACAGCAATTCAAATAATTTAATAAGCAGGACAGTAAAACAGACCTTGAAGAATTTGTTTATCTGTTTTTTTTTCACCCAAGCATCCTGTATTTTACAGCTATAGTATCACACTAGTGGAGAGATGCTGCAGTGAGTCACTGAAACTCTTTGGAAGTACAGAGTATTATGTGGTGGTAACAATTGATGAACACACTGCTATAATTTTACAGGTAAATTTAGTTTTAAAAAGTACAACTTTATATACAACTATGTAATTTATTAAGTAATTTATTCATTAAGTACTTTGTTAAAATTAATTGTGAAAAATGACTATTGCCAAACTTCTTTGATATCTTATAATTTTCAAGATTTTTTTTTTTTTGGTCAGTTGTGTGGTTTGAACTCAGGGCCTGGGTGCTGACCCTGAGCCTCTTTGTGCTCAAGGCTAGTGCTCTACCACTGGAGCCACAGTGCTACTTCCCATTTTATGAGTGGTTAATTAGAGATAAGAGTCTCATGGGGACTTTTCTTCTAGGGGCTGGCTTCAAACCACAATCCTCAGATCTCAGCCTCCTAAGTAGCTAGGATTATAGGCATGAGCCACCAGTGCCCAACAATACTGACCTATTTTTAAACACATTTGTAGAATAATTACATTTTAAGAAGCTTTAAAAAATAAAGCTTAATGGTAGAGCATTTGCCTAGCCAGTGCTAGGCAGTGATCCCCAGCACAACAACAACAACAAAAAGCCACTGTCTTTCTTACAACAGGGTACTCTATTAATTAATGATTAGAAATCCATAAACTCTTCTGGGATTGGTTTTTAAAGAGAGATTCTCATTAAAAAGCACATATATCATTTGGAAATTAAGATATATAAATTCTTGGTCGAATCTCTCATATGATTGCCTGACTGGAGTAGCAATTGCAAATAATTTAATGTTGTTAATTAAAAGTGGGGAGTAGGAACTAGGTTTTATGGTATGGTAAGATTTGATGAGCAAAATTAACAGTATGTGAATTATGATAAAGAGTTAGAGGTATGGCTAAAGTGCTAGACCATATACCTAGCAGTCACAAAGCCCTGAATTTGAATCCCAGTACTGCCAAAAAAAAAAAAAAAAGGTTGCCCTAAACCACTAGATAGGTTTTGTTTTATTTTGCAAGTCCTGGGGCTTGGACTCAGGGCCTGGGCAATGTCCCTGAGCTTCTTTCGCTCAAGGCTAGCACTCTTACCACTTGAGCCACAGCACCACTTCTGCTTTTTTCTGTTTATGTGATACTGAGGAATTGAACCCAGGGCTTCATGCATGCTAGGCAAGCACTCTACCACTAAACCACATGCCCAGACCTCTAAATAGGTACTCTTGGGAAGTCCATTAATCACTGCTTTCTCATGTCCCTTGCATAAACATACAGTACTAGTTATTCCATGGGTTTGTGTGTGCTGATCCTGGGGCTCAAACTTAGGGCCTGGGTGCTATCCCTGAGCTTCTTTTGCTCAAGGTTAGCATTCTACCACTTGAGTTGCAGCTACACTTCTGGTTTCTTTTATGATTACTTAGAGATAAAGAGTCTCTAAGACTTTTTGTCTGGGCTGGCTTCCAACCATGATCCTCAGATCTCAGCCTCCTGAGTAGCTAGGATTACAGATGTGAGCTGCTGGTTCATGGAATAGTTTTTAAACATTTTTATGGAGTAGTCAGACCCTAGTCCATAAAGACCATTGCCAAAATCGGGGCACTCTGTAGATAATACCTTCATCTCTGAAATCTTCGGAGACCCATGACTCTTTTCTTGTTGAAGTTGTCATCATATGTTTTATGTAGCTTTCCCCCTACTACTAATTTCAGTGTGATTTTAACTTTTCCATGAAATGTGAGTCCATAACTACACTCTTTCTTGAGTCATTTTTAACATATCATTTTGAAAATGAAACATAGTAATAGTTTTATAACAATACTTAACAATTTTTTCATTTTCTGTATTTTATGATAGGACCTGGAAGAACTGAATTATGAGAGAGCATCAGACAACATCATTATGAGGTTGATGGCATTATCATTCCAGTATAGTGATTGTTGGATCATAATATATATCAAGAGAACCTTAAATTCAGGGTAGGTTAGGTTTTTTAATCCAAGTCTTATTCATATTTCTTGTTATCAATTCACTTTTTTGGGAGAGAGGATTTTTTTTTAATTTTATTAATTGTACAAAGGAGATTCATTGTGATTTTTACATGCATCCATGAATGTATTTGACCAAATTAATCTCTACTATGTTGCTTTGTCTTAACTCTTCCCCTCATTTAAAGTTTGTTTTCTTAATGTATTTCATTGTATTATTTTCATACTACCCATTGTGGTGATTTTTGTCTCCAGGCACTGTGGCTAGATGGCCCAAGATATCCTGAGCTGCTGTTAATCCTTGTTTTAATGACCTGTAGTAGCTCGGTCTCAAAACAAGGCCCTCTCTCAAGATGGCACTTCATCACAGTTTTTTTAGATATGAGGAATGAAAGACCATTTGTCTGATTCTTGCCTGTCATGTTTGGGGAGTTACTGTCCTAAATCCTGTACTGGATTTAATGCACTGGGAGGTACAGGCTTGTCCCACAGGTAAAGTCTGCCAGGCTGTTGCAAAGGCTGCCCTAGTTGCCTTGCAGAGGCTTTGATTCCCTTCCCATTAATCTCCTCTGTCAGTGTTTTGTTTTACCCTGCTTTTCAGCTGTCCTTTCCCCCTTGAGTCTTGGTTGTTCTCTTCCAATCTTCCCAATACAATGTCCCCTTTTTCCCCCAGACTCTTCTTTCAGGACACCTCAGTTGTCTGCTTTGACATAGTTATGTGAATACTTTGCCTGTTCATCTAGTTTATTTTAAATAGGGATTCTCAAGATGGTGACACAATCATAGGAGATGACACAGGCTACTGTGGACATAATGTGCATATTGTCCCCTTCTCTCATCTTCAATGCTTTTAAGAATTACTGCCTTATTCATTTTATTTTAAATCATGACTAGCTTAATTTATCATTATGTTTCTCCTTTCCCTTACTATTAAACATGACGTATGATTTCTTCCTCCTTCTCTTTTATTCCCTGCCAGTTGGCTTTTCTCCCTAATTCTGTACTGATCTTTGTCTTTCAAAGGTCATTTGTAATTTTCTCATGATCTTCTCCAACAACACTTTTATCTTTCACTACTTTCAAGTATTTAACTCAATGGTCAGTGCTTTCTTTTTTGAAACTGTTCAGTTCCATGATTCTTTAGTGTTTTTGATGTTCTACATTCCTAACTACTTCTCTCTGCTTTTATTTCTTCTTTTTTCTAATTTCTAAATAATTTTGTTTTCTTCCTTCTTATTCTACTCATTGTACATCTAATCTACTCTTATAGCTTTAGTCACTATCTGTGTATATAATTATTACATTTAATTCTGCAGCTACCATGTCTCTTTGATATTTCCAACATGCATCTCTAATTTTTTTTGGAGGAGGGGTGGGTGTGAAGCTTGAGCTCTGGGCCTGGGCACTCTCCCATAGCTCTTCAGCTCAAGGCAAGTGCTCTATCACTTGAGCCACAGTGCCGGTTTACTGGTGGCTAATTGGAGATAAGAGTCTCACAGACTTTCCTGCTGGACTGGCTTTGAACCACGATCCTCAGATCTCAGCCTCCTGAGTAGCTAGGATTACAGGCATGAGCCACCAGAGCTCATGTTATTAAATGTTATTAAACATTTTCACCTTGATATTCCAGAGTCTCAAACTTTACATAATCAAATATGAAGTCGCTCTAATTACACCTCCACTTACTTGTCCCTTAGCTATTTTGGGCATTGCCTTTCTTTTCTAGAAAATAATTTATCTTTTGGATTCAACCACTGCACTTTCTCTTCCATCTGTTTCCTCTCCCTATGTATATCAGCGATGTCTTAATTCAGATTCTCCATTTATAAGGACTTTTGTAGCAAACTAACACTGTCTTCTCACCTTTCACTTTCCTCTACATGATGTTTTTGTACACTTACGTGATATCCCTAAAAACAAGCTCTGGTTATTTTGTTGTTATAACAAAAAACTTTTACAAGCCTGGAGCTGGTGGCTCATACCTGTAATGCTAGCTACTTAGGAGATTTGAGAATCAAGGTTTGACGCCAACCTGGGCAGGAATGTCTGTGAGACTTATCTCCAATTAATCACCCAAAAACCAGAAGTGGATCTGTGGCTCAAGTGCTAGACTTGAGCAAAAGAGCTCAGGAACAGTGCCCAGACCCTGAGTTCAGGCTCTACAATGGACAAAAAAAAAGTTTTTACAGAGTTAGTTATTATGTACTTAATACATACAAGTGACTCAATCTAACATTCAGACATCAGAATATAATCCTAACCTGTATTTTCAGGTGTATTTTTCACTGCTTTCCATATCAACCAAAAGGTCTGATCAGTCATTGGCCCATTTCTAGTTTTGTTCCTAATTTCTTTCTTCCTACATATTTTCTATTTCTAAATTGTCTAGTGAAATTGTGCTTATTTTCAGCATCTATTCCCAAATACTTCTTCCATTCAACTTTTCCACAACACCTACTGATACAGATTCAGATACGATCTCTATCTTTTAAAATGCTTAGCTCTCTACTTTTTTCCTCATCTTTGCTATTATTTATATTATCTTTTTGTAATATGTTTACATCATAGAGCACACCGCTTTTATATGATAGATGCTTGATAAATATCCATTGGCTGAATGAATGGATCATTTTGCCAAGCTGCAAGCTTGGCTTATTCTTTTTTTATTCCTTTTGTACTATAAATATATACCATATAATTCATAATAGAAGATTTTGTATATTTTAAAATTTAGTTATTAGAGAAGATATCAATATCTTAGGCATTACCTGTGTGCTTTGTTTTCTTAACTTCTTTCTCAACTCCATTTTGTTTACTGCTGTGTCATACTCTATACATAATCATTACCATATAGGGGTAAGTGTACATTGCAGTCTTTTAGTAGTAAATATTTTGGTTCTTCCTCTTTTTCTGTTAACAGTAACCTCTGGCAAATTATTTAGTAGAGTTTTCCTTTCTATTAGAAGTAAAAAGTAAAAATAATTCAAGTCTAAAAATTTCACTTTGAAGATGAATAAGGGCTGTAAGAGGACTGGCACTTGCTTGTGGAGCATTTTAAAGCATTATTAGAACTTGGAAGTATTTTAAGTATAACTGATTTGGAAATTTTCTAATATCATTTTTAGCTTACTATCTACCTATAATTCTGGTGGAATAATTAAAGTATAGGGGAGAATAAGAGGAGATTTAAACTTAGTTTTACCCAAGATTTTTTATGAAAAAAGAATGTTGGGGATGTAAAGGGTCACTCGTGGTAGTGCAATGCTCTAAAATACAAGTATTTTCAGACTTTGAGTTTCTCAGTTCTGTGTTATTGTCACATTTATGAAGTGTTTTAATGAACTGACCAGATGGGGAAATTTAAAATACAGAAGAAACTGAATTATCTCAGTAGTTTAGACCATTAGTTATTGAAGAAGGATGTCAGTAGTCCATGAGAACACCCCTTGGTTCAATGGTCTGCTAGGAAGACTCATCACATATATGTATGGATATGATTTATTGCAGTATAAAGTTCCAATTCAGAATTCACAAGAGAATCTTATGAGGCAAACTCCAGAGGAAAGAGGAAGCTTCTCTCCTAATTCACACAAAATAGTACTTAATTTCCTCAGCAGCAAACTAATAACACCTACAAACTTCTGTCCAGCATGTAAGGTTATTAGAAACAAAGGAGCCAAGGTTTATATTGAAGAATGTTATGTAGGTACCATGTGTTTAGCACTGGTCAAAGTTTCAAACTCTAAGAAGGAAAACAAGTATTTAACAAGGTCTATATCGTTTGTTCAAGCACAGTGAGCCACTCTCACCAACTTATTACTCTTATGGGAAACTTTCCTGACAAAGAAGCCAACTCAAAGGAAAAGGGAGCCAAAAAAAATGAAGGGAGCCATTATCCTGATGTTTTTGTGTTCCTAGATCCAAGAACGTTTCCCCTTGAATTTCTCGATAACAAAAGCCAGTAATGCATAGGGTGCAGGCAAACATTCATGTCTGACCTGTTTAGTAGCCATAGAAAGAGAAAAAGAGTATTTTTTTTGTTGGTCTTGGGGCCTGGGCACTGTCCCTTAGCTCTACACCTCAAGGCGAGCGCTCTGCCGCTTGAGCAACAGTGCCATTTCTGGTTTCCTGGTGGTTTATTGGAGATAAGATTCTCACTGACTTCCTGCCTGGGCTAGCTTTGAACCATGATCCTCAGATCTCAGCCTCCAGAGTAGCTAGGATTATAGGAGTGAGCCACCTGCACCCGGCTTCATAATGGTTTTTAAGGGAAAAGATCCAGGAAATATTTTGGGTATTCTGGCTGTAGTCATATGGTTATATCTGGACTTTCTACTGCAACTGGGAAGATAGAATATTCTAGTTGGCTAGGCTTTGGTCATAGTCATCTCTAGGGCTAATAAAATGATGGGCTAAATTTCTCCCCTTACCTGTCATCCTCTATACATCAACATCCTGTAGTTAACAGCACTATTAAAATATGGAAGTGAATCATATTTTTTCTGAACAGTGCAATGTGGACAAAAAGCATGACTTTGCCCACATTTTTATTATCTTAGCTATTATGAAATGTGGAAAACAAAGTAAATATAACAAGGTTGCAAATGAGTAAAAGCATAGTAATAAAATTCTTCTTAGGTATCATCTTACAGAAAAGATACTTCATCACCTCGCATTGATTTATGCAGCTTTGGTTTCTTCTGGCCTTAAATCTGAAGAACTGGATGTAAAGGTATTATTTTCCTATATGTTTGTTCATAAACCAGAATTAGCCAGCTGCTGATAGCTCATGCCTGTAATCCTAGCTACTCAGGAGACTGAGTTTGGAGGCTCATGTTTTATTGCCAATTTGGGCAGGAAGCCTGTGAGACTCTTATCTCCAATTAAGCACCAAAAAAAGCTGGAAGTGAGCCAGGCACTGGTTGCTCACATGTAGCTATTTAGGAGGCTGAGATCTGAGGATCACAACTCAACTCGAAGCTAGCCTGGGCAGAATGAGATTCTTATCTCCAATAAACTATTCAGAAAAAGTCAGAAGTCATGCTGTGGTTCAAGTGGTAGAGTACTAGCCTTGAGCAAAAAAGCTCAGGGACAGTGTACAAGCCCTGAGTTCAAGCCTCAGGACTTGCACCAAAAGAAAAAATATATATATTTTAAATATATATATATATATATATATATATATATGAACTCATGTGCCGAGTGAAAAAAGGCACTAAATGGACAGAATAAAAACTGCTTGAAACTGGAAAATTGAGAGGAATGTTGGGTTGGGAGGGATGAGGGAGAATGGTGAAAAGGGTGATATCAATCAAGATGCAATCTGGTTATAAACTGATCAGTTGAATGTTAACACAAAGGTGTTAACACCTTATGGTAACTACCAAAAGATAATAAAAATAAAACTTTAAAAGTAAAACACTAAATGCTTTTAAAAAGAGGAAAAAACTGCTTGAAAGCCAAATAAAGAACAGCTTCTAATAAAGAACTTAAACTTCACATAGCACAAGCTGTAGAGCACCTGCCTAGCATGCTTGAAACCCCATGAGTTCAAAAAAGCATGAGTTCAAACCCCAGTACAAAAAAAAAGAAGAAAAGAGGGAAGGTGGCTCAGTGGTAGAGCACTTGCCTTGCCGGCATGAGGCCCTGGGTTCCATTCCTCAGCACCACATAAGCAGAAAAAAAGCCAGAAGTGGCGCTGTGGCTCAAGTCATAGAGTGCTAGCCTTGAGCTGAATTGCTGAGGGACTGTGCCCAGGCCCAGAGTTCCGGCCCCAGGACCAAAAAAAAAAAAAGAAAAGAAAGAAAACTCGGCCATTCCCAGCCTGTATATTACCGATACTTCTGAAGATCTGTACTGATATTCTAGCACTCAAGTAGAAATGTCCACAATGAAGAGCCTACACGTACCTCAAACTCTTCATGTCTAGAGTACAACAGATGATCCTACTCAAGCTTATTTTATAGCATCACTGTTTTAGTATAATCAATAGTGAATAGTGAAGTCCTTTTTACTAAAAACAAAAACAAACACCTTTTCATTGTTATAAAAGTGATTTAGAGAGGGGTTGCAGTTAGTGAGATCCCCTTTTTTAACTCTGCCATGTCTCTAACATATGCCTCTCCTATGCTCCACTACCATTTCTCTCAATTAGGCCTCTCTTGCCTCTGATTGAGTTTTAAAGCACCTTCCTAACTAATCACCCTTTTTGTACTCTTTCCCCACTCTATCACATTGGTATAGACACCAGTTACACTTCTGAAATAGAGCTGTGAAAATTTCACTACTTACACTATAAACTTATGGAGGCAAGAGAACATGTCTATTTATTTTTGTGTTCCTGACACTTGCACAAATCCAAGCAGATGGTAGGCTCTTGCAAGTATTCACCTGTACATTGACATTTCTTGCTTAAAAATCTTCTATTTCAAAAGAGAGTTTTCTATTTCAAAAGAGAATTCAAACTTTTCCACAATTTAACCCCAAGTAATCCTTCCTTTAACTTCATAGTTGAGAACTATTAGGTTTAATCTAAGAAAGGCAAAATAGGAAATACTACTAGTGATTTTCAATTGCCATTCTGCCTAACAATACTAAAATGTATTTCCAAAAACTTTATGAGTAAATGCAGAATGGAAGTGAAGAAAAACAATTTAGTTCCAAAGTCAGAACATGTTAGGATATACATTTAAAGAAGGAAAGAAAATTGGTTGTTGTCACAAAAAAATATCCTGGTTTTCACATAGATACATTAATATATTTAAAATAGCCTTAAAGAATCCACTGTTGATAGGTACTAATGCATAGCTTGTAATCCTAGCTACTTAGGAGGTTGTGACCTGAGGATCATGGTTCAGAGCCAGCCTGGGTAGGAAAGATTGTGAGACTCCAATTGCTCACCAAAAAGCTGGAAGTGGAGCTGTGGCTCAAGTGGTAGAGTGTCAGCCTTGAGCAAAAAAGCTCAGGGACAGCATGTAGGTCTTGCTTTCAAGGCCTAGGACAGGAACAACAGGCCAACTTCACTAATTTTCTGACGTACTATAATCTTGCTGACTTTGTTTGTTGTGTTAGTTACTAAGAGCTACTCACTAAAACCTAACAGTATTTTTTAAAGAATCCAGTTTTAAATTTTTCTTTTCTTTTTTTTGGTCAGTTGTGGGGCTTGAACTATGGGCTTAGGCACTGTCCCGGTGCTCTTCAGCTTAAGGCCGGTGTTCTACCACGTGAGCCACAGTGCTACTTCTGGTTTTCTAGTGGTTTATTGGAGATAAGAGTCTAACGGCCTTTCCTGCCTGGGCTGGCTTTGACCCCTGATCCTCATATCTCAGCCTCCTGCGTAGCTAGGATTACAGGCGTGAGCCATCGGTCATCGGCGCGGTTAAAATTTCCTCTTTATTTCAAAGTTTTTGAGTGCTAATTTTGCTTTTTGATATTTCCTATAATGTAACATATAATGTATATATTTTAGCTTGTAATTACTCCAGGAGGAGAAAAGACTGCATCAATAATTCGTCAAATTGCTGATCACAGTTTAATGAGCTCCAAAAGAGATCCTCATGAATGGCTGGATAAATCATGGCTTGAAGTTTTACCATCCAAGGTTTATTTTTTAATGTATAAATTAGATTATCTACCAAGCAAATAAGAATACATATAACTTTTCTCTCCCTCTTTCCATTCCTCTAACTCTTCCTTCTTTCTTTTCTTCCTACCTACCTTCCTTCCTTTTCTTCCTTCTGGTAGTACTAGAGTACAAACTCAAGTCTTCTAGGCAGATAGATACTCTACAACTTGAGCACTGCTCCAACCTTCTTTTTTTTAAATTATTTTTCAAGTAGGATATCACATTTTTGCCTGGGGCTGGCCTTGGACCTTGGTCCTTCTACTTATGCCTCTCAAGTAGCTGAGATTACACCACCACGCCCAGCTTCTTAAGTGTCTGGGTGAATTTTTGCCAGAGTAGCCTTGAACCTAATCCTCCTGATCTCTGCCTCTTGCATGGCTAGATTGTGAGACATTGGGTCTGGCTAATTTCCTTTTTGGTAGTATATTTTTCCAGATGCCCCAAATTAAGTGGTAGGTTCAGTGACAGAAATTTTAGCATAAATGTGTCACTTTTGAAAGACTGCTGGCTGATTATTCCTTAAACTGTTTTCTAGGAAGAAATGTACTTACTTGATTTTCCATGCATTAACCCATTGGTGGCTCAGCTGATGTTAAATCAAGTGCCTTCGCTGCATTGGCTGTTATCAGCAACCCCATGTCAACTTCAGGAAATTCTACCCAGCGTTCCAGAAAAAGTGTTAAAGGTTAGTTAAGATCTATATTCTTGTATTTCTCTCCCATTTCCATTTAAGTATCTATTTTTTATAGGAGTTTCAAAATTAAGGTAAACAACTTTATTTTGAACTTCACATAAGCAAAGAAACTACTTGAATTAAATTCCATATCTAATTCCCATTGGTTGCTAGTCAAAGTTATATTTAAAACCTATTTTATATAGGAAGGGGAAACAAAGGAGGAGTCAACAATGCTTGATAAGAAATGTACTCATTATCTTGCTCATGTAATTGTAACTCCTCTGTACGGTATTTTCACAATAAAAAAAAACCTATTTTATATGGACTAGTCAGTGAAATTTATCAAGCTCTGAATCATTTTGAAACAATATTGTGTCCATAAATAGTTGTGTTCCCTGTTCACATGTTCACACTGCATTACCTCTTCCAAAGCCCTTAAGTTCTTCTTTTTAGCAATAAAAAGAACATAAGCCTTACTGGTAATTTTTTTAAAAAATTTTTATTGTAGGGCTGGGAAGGTGGCTCAGTGGTAGAGTGCTTGCCTTGAATGCATGAGGCCCTGGGTTTGCTTCCTCAACACCACATAAGCAAAAAGAAAAAAGCCGGAAGTGGCGCTGTGGCTCAAGTGGTAGAGTGCTAGCCTTGAGCTGAAGAGCTGAGGGACAGCGCCCAGGCCCAGAGTTCAGGCCCCACAAGGTCCCGGACCCAAAAAAAATTTTAAAAAATTTTATTGTAAAGATACTGTATAGACGGGTTACAGTTACATGAGTAAGGTAATGAGTACATTTCCTATCAAGCATTGTTACCCCCTCCTTTGTTTTTCTCCTACTAACCCTTCCCTCTCCACCTTCCCCACTCCCCCCCCTCCCAAGTTGTCAAGTTCATTTCCAAGATAGTATCTTGTATGTCTCATTGTTACAGTGGGTCAGACTGTATCCTTGTTTCAGCATGTTGTTATTTCCCTTACCTTCCCCAAATTAGAAAAATGTATATAAAACTCTTACCAAGAAAATAGTACTTGTGTATACCTTGCATCACTAAAATTTTTGTCATATTTGCTGTAAATCTAAAACTACTCAAAAAATAAATTTGCCAAAAATTGTGTCATAGCTAGGGATGGGGGCTCCCGTGGTGGCAGCATGCCTACCTACAAGCAGGACGCCTGCCTTCAAACAAACAAAAATCAAAATATATTAATGTAACAATACAGAAACAAAAAAAGAAAAACAACTTCTATTATAAATGTGTAGGAAATAAATGCAAACAATAGTGTTTTTCTTTTAATTATGGGCTTAATATACAGGTCAATATAATATCTGCGGATAGACTATTTACAGACTTTGCTTTCTTCCCATATAGATAAGCATCATTATTTGAGTGACATGCTTTCTGTATAATAAACATTATTACCTATGAGGCTAATGTTTGTATTGTATGACATTAATTAGCTTCTTTTTATCTTTAGCATTTTTGTAGCATCACTTCCTTATTCAAGATTAATTCTTCCTCCATAACAAAATCACCTCCAAGTTTATCACCTCAGGAAGACAGGAATGATATTAGTAACTTTATTTCTCAGAATTCAGCTTCGGACCTTTCAGACTCTGCCATTCAAGAGCATAATAATGACTATTGCCCATACTCAGAATCAGAGGAGACAGTGAAGGAAGACACAAACATCCCTACAAATTACAACTCTTCTTTCATGGAACTAAGAAAAACCCCATGTATTTTACCTCCTGTGACTTCTTACACTCTAACCAGCAATTTGAAAAGCTTTCATTGTAGCCCCAATGTTGAACAAAGCAGTCCTTTTCTGATTAATACAGCAACCAAGAAATCAGTTTGTAACTCCTTTCCAAATCAGAATGATCCTGGGTCAGATATCTTTTCTTTGGGTCTAACACAGATAAATCGTGAAACTCAGAGGGGAACAACCCCTAATTTCATAAATTATCAGAAAAAAAGACCACCAGGAACAAAAGCAGTATCTGCCCCTATGTTTTCAGTAGAGGACTCTCTCTCGTCATGGGACTTCCATCATGGGAACTTTAGGAAAAACGTATGTAAGAAACAAAATCACTCATTCAACTTGAAATATGGAGTAGAGTCTACCTATGACAAATGGTACTCTCAAAAAGATAATTTACTTACTAATCAGCAGGAGTCTCTATCAGATGAATTGGAAAGTTTTACATGTGAAAGTTCAAATATTGGGACTACGACTTTGTGGAGACAATTACCATCTGTTCCCAGTCTGAATGTATTCAGTGTTTCTGACTCTAATGCAAATCAAAAAGAAATTAGCAGCCTTAGTATGTACCCAAGACCTGGAAAATGTTCAGGACAGAAAAGATATCTTGAATCATCATCTAATTCAGGAGACAAGGAACCATTAGCAGGTAACAATAATCATTTATATAACTATTTCAATTTTAACTTTAAAAACATAGAACCAAAGTCAGGTACTGGTGGCTCATGACTGTAATCCTCGTTATTCACGAAACTGAGATCTGAGAATCATAGTTTGAAGCCAGCCTGCTCAGGAAAGTCCATGAGACTCTCCAATTAACCACCAGAAAACCAGAAGTGGCACTGTAGCTCAAAGTGGTAGAGCTCTAGTCTGAGTAAAAAAATCTCAGAGACAGCACCCAAGCCAAATTCAAGCTCCATGACTAACAGAAGGGTGGAAAAAAGCCCCCCCACACACCCCAAAAAACCCACAAAAGACAGAACCATTTCCAAATTTTAACAAAATTTTAATGTTAACACTTAAAATGCTCCAGAAACTTTTAGGTCAAAGAGAAAATCAGAACTTTTGGACCTAAAAAAATACAAAGAAAATATGTCAAACTGCTTCAGCTTTAAATGAACTAAGCATTCAATTTGAAAAGTTAAAAATAAAATTATCTGGATCACTTCTCAGTCTTGTGGCTAAGATCAAACATAACAATACAGGGATAACAATATATGGATATCCATATATAAATAATATGTACATTAGCATACATGATTAACAAATGGGAATTACTAAGTAGGTACAACCATGGGAAAGCTGTCAGATATAGAAAAAACCTTATATTCTTAGAAATTTTATACTTGGCTTTGTGGGCTATTATGCAGAAAAGAACTGAATTCTATCATGCTGATAGCTTGAAATCAGCTAGAGAAACTGGCAGTCATTACAAATAAGGTTTTTCCCTATTTCTGGTAATCCCACTTTGTAAAATACTTGTTAAATATTTACCAGCAAACTCCAGGTACCTAACCCAGCTCTCTCATAGCTTCACAGAGAAGGAAGAGAATCCTATTATCATTAACAGCCCCAGACTTGGGGCTGGGGCTTGCTCAAGTGGTAGAGCACCTGCACAGCAAGTGTGAGGCACTAAGTTTAAATCTCACTACTGCCAAAAATATAAATGAAAAAATTCCCCATGATTACTCATGTGTAAGCATGTTTTTTAGTTTGAGGTGAAAATTTGTTTTCCTCACACAGATTGATTTCTAAACACACAACTCCCCAGGAAATTATATCCCTAATGAATATGATCTTTCTCATTCTAGAGGCTATATGTTTATGAGAAGACAGTCATAGTGAAATAGGAATAGTAAGGGGAAACTAAGAAGAAAAGGAAAACAAAACAGACTAATAGAATTGCATACATTCTCATGACATTGTTTTAAAAAAGTACAGACAGAATAAGTATTTGCGTGAGGTTCACAGTCAGGGTAAGCTTCTGACATATTTAGTTTAGGATGAGATAGAAACCTTCAAGAACTAGGAAACCCTGACTTGCTTCCGAAGCCAGTGGCTCGTGTCTATAATCCTAGCTACTCAGGAGTCTAAGATGTGAGGATCATGGTTTGAAGCCAGCCAGGCAGGAAAGTCCCTAAGACTCTCTTCTCCAATTAACCACCAGAAAACCAGAAGTGGTACTGTGACTCAAAGTGGTAGAGTACTAGCCTTAAGCAAAAAACCTCAGGTTAGTGCCTAGGACCTAAGTTCAAGTCTCATGACTGACAAAAAAAAAAAAAAAGAATCAGGAAACACTTTAGAGATGATTGTAGTATAATTTCACAGAAGAAATTAAAGTCCAGGGAGATTTCACTATTTACACACAGTATGTGCATAGTAATTTTTAGTACTATACCTGTGGCTAGACATGCACTTATATTTAAAATATTATTTTAATATTTTTATCTTAGTTTAGAAATTTTAACAGTATAAATTGATAAGATAGGATCCACTCATATTTTAGAAAAAAATAACTACACTTTACTATTATATGTAATAAAATAGTTTTCCCTTTTCTCCTTTGAACAGGTTCAATGTACTCAAAATTACCACCACAGAAAAAAAGACGCCTAATGTATGAAAAAGTTCCAGGAAGAAGTGATGGACAAACTCGGCTGAGGTTTTTTTGAAAGAGGGAATGAGCAGTGTTAAATGCCAGATTCTCCTGCTTTTCATAATCTAGTAGCAAAATAATTATTTAGATTTGCATATATATTTTAAAATGCCATTGTTTTCATGTTCTTAGTGTTTCTATATTAAAATTTTGTACTATATATTGTCTAATGGCTTGCATTTTGTAACTAAAAATTTCTAATTACAATTTACATAATAATTATCATATCCACAATATATTCCAGAACTGCATAAACATCACAAGCTTTCTAGTGAATCCCTATCACAGACTACCTCTCTCCCATAACTATACTTCCGTAGTTAACTAGGGCAAAATGAGGCTTGGGAAATTTCCCTTTTACGTGTTGTCTTCCCTAGATGAAATTTAGAAACAAATAACTTAAGAGGAAATGTTTGCAAACCAAATTATAAGAAAAGATTTTACATTGTCAATATACAAAGAATTCCTACAAACTGATAGGAAAGACAACCTAAAGAGTGGGCAAAATATGGGAACATTTTCTGAGAAGAAAAAATAGCTAATAAATATTTGGAGCAACATGCAGTTTCATCATTTGTTAGGCCAACCCAATGCAAGTTAAAACAGTAAGTTACTGTTTTTTCACCTATCATATTGGCAAAAATTTTGAAAATTAAAAAATATCCAGTGGCAGCATATTGGAGAAAATAACAGCTTCTGAATTTGTCTGCACAACTTTTTAGGATTTGGTTTGTCTGACATTTATTAAGATGGAAGATGCCTGTGTTTTGACCCAGCTATTATAGTTCTAGTAATCTGTCTGGAAGAAATACTCAATTGCAAAATAAGATCTAGTTAAAATAGAATTTGTAATAGGTAAACAGTAGACAAGAAGATATATCAATAGGAATCAGTGAACCATTAGACAGACTGTGGACTATCATGAAACCATTTTGAAAAAAATAAATCTCCAGGGCTGAGAAGGTGGCTCAGTGGTAGAGTGCTTGCCTTCATGCTCAAGGCCCTGGGTTCGATTCCTCAGCACCACATAAGCAAAAAGAAAAAAGCTGGAAGTGGCACTGTGGCTCAAGTGGTAGAGCACTATCCTTGAGCTGAAGAGCTGAGGGACAGAGCCCAGGCCCAGAGTTCAGGCCCCATGACCGGACCCCCAAAAAAAAAAAGAAAAGAAATCTCCATGCTCCGAAAAGGAATGATGTTCATAAAACAGTGAAAGAACATATAAAATATCATAACTCAGATTTTATTATTTTTTTAAAAAAGAAACCTTTGGAACTCAAATCTCTTCCAAAATGGTAAATATATTATTGAAACAATTTGAAATACGTGAATTTCATATTTTCTTTCTTTTTTGTCGGTCATGGAGCTTGACTTCAGAGCTTGGACATACTGTCCCTGAGCTCTTGTGCTCAAGGCTAGCACTCTACCAGTTTGAGCCACAGGCCCATTTCCAGTTTGGGGGTGTTAATTGGAGATGAGTCTCAAACTTTTCTGCCCAGGCTGGCTTTGAACTATGATCCTCAGATCTCAGCCTCCTGAGTAGCAAGGGTTACAGGCATGAGCCACCAGCACCCTGCAAACTTCACATGTTCTGATGTTTGAATTTGTTCACAGTACACACTAAAACCCAAAAATTGTACCCAGTAAAATGAGCCAGGTAAAAAAACACAACACATGCACAAGGTACACCTCATGAGGTGAGTCACAATGGCTCAATGGTGCTTCCACTTTCTTACTAGCTAACCCGTTACCCACTACCTCACAACTCACAAGTTTCAACGTGGGCCTGTGCCCTCTTTTCTCTAACCTCTTCTGCTCCTAGTTCTCTACGGATTTCCCTCTGTTCTCTCACGGCTCTCACTAGTTCTTTTCATCAAGCAGAAAGGATTGTAGTATGACTGCCAGCTAGGTAGGCTGATGATTGGTGGGTGAGGCCTACAGGACCATAAGCAAATTCCAGCTCTATTTGTTATACTTATTTGTTTTCCTTGACTATTTTAACATATATATACATATATATATATAGACACATACACATATACATATATACACTGTGTGTGTGTGTGTGTGTGTGTGTGCTAACACTTTGATTAGCTTCCTAGCGTTTTGTGGTTGTTTTTTTTTATTGTGAAAATACTGTACAGAGGGGTTACAATTACATGGGCAAGACAATAAGTACATTGCTTATCAAGCATTGTAGCCTCCTCCTTTGTTTCCCCTTTCCATCCCTTCCCATCCTCCCCCCCGCCCCCCTTTGAGGGTTTTTTTTTTGTACTGGATTTCAACTCAGGGCCTGGACACTGTCCCTGAGCTTTTTTGCTCAAGGATAGTACTCTACCATTTGAGCCATAGACTTATTTCTGGTTTTTTGTTTAATTGGAGATAAAAGTTTTACAGACTCCTGCCTGGGCTGGCTTTGAACCTTAATCTTCAGATCTTAGCTTACTGAGTAGCTAGGATTTTAGGCATGAGGCACTGGCACCTGGCTCAGTTCTAGCTTTTTTACTTAATATTGAGTGTCAAATCTCTGTTTTTCATATATCTCATTGTTTCTGTGATTTTGATGAGTTTTAGGAACGCCTATGTCATGTTATAGTACTCACTATACATCTGCACATCCTTCTTGGAAACTACTTAATGTATCATGCCTTGATACATATTTTTAAATGTTTTTTATTGTGAAAATACTGTACAAAGGGATTACAGTTACATGAGCAAGGTAATGAGTACATTTCTTATCAAGCATTGTTGCCTCCTCCTTGATGATATATTTAATCATTCTCTCACTAATGGCTTTTCAGACTGACTTCAGTGTGGGCATGAAAAATATATGGACAGATAAATCCTAAACTCTTTAACAATGAGTTATTCTCTCTACATGTGTATTTATTTTGAAGGGACAGCTGATTGGTTAGAGAACTCAAGGATAATGTTTTTTGGCTTGAGACATTGGAAGAATGATACAGCCATGTACAAATATGGGAGACTATGAGAGGAACATGAGAAAAGATGAGGAGCTGATTTAGGGAAACTTCTAGAATACCTACTAGGCACAGTGGAGACAATGAGTAGGTATTTGGATTACATGAGCCTCAAGGTCAATGGGATAAATGAAAAGGAAGTATACATTTACAGGACAATAAGCATAAGTATGTATGTATTGGATAACATGACCAAGGCAGTAAACATAAGACAAAAAAAAGGGCTGGGAAGGTGGCTCAGTGGTAGAGCATTTGCCTTGCCTGCATGAGGCCCTGGGTTTGATTCCTCAGCACCACATAAGCGAAAAGAAAAAAGCTGGAAGTGGCACTGTGGCTCAAGTAGTAGAGCGCTAGCCTTGAGCTGAAGAGCTGAGGGACAGCGCCCAGGCCGAGTTCAGGCCCCATGACTGGACCCAAAAAAAAAAACAAAAAACAAAACAAAAAGACAAAAAAAAATAGAAGCTCAAGGAGTAAACTCTAGGACATTAGAAAGAAACAGAATACAGTAGGAGAAAACACAGGAGAAACCAAGTGGAGATATCTCTAACGAGAGAGTAATCAACAGTATGGATGCTACTGACAGATAAGCAGTGGGTTTACCCATGGGCCAATAACTGATGATCTTGGTAAGAGCAGGTTTGGAGGGAAAGTGGGGCAAAAGCCTGGTCAGAATAGACTCAAGAGAAAGGAGGCAAGGAGTTTGGGCAATTTTTTTCTGGCACTTTTGCAAGACAGAAACAGAAAAAGAGACAGAGCAATACATATTTCACACGTGGTAAGAGATATGGTCTCCTTTTACTGCTGCAGGTTTATCTTGATTTTTCTATTTCTATGTCAGGGTTTGATCAAGAAAGCAGAAGCAAGAGGTGAGGTTGATAGGGATACATTGTTTACATGTGTGGATTTGGCGGAATGAAAGCCCACCTTGTACAACTAATGTAAGCTAATTTTTTTTAAAAAAGCAGAAACACTGAGTTATATAAAGGAAGCTTTATAAGGATTAGACCTCACTCAATTGGGAGAAATGGTTTAAGTCTATGCAAAACGACTGCTTATCTTGTTTTGTACCTGAAATCACTTTAGGTCAGCAGAGCTTAATGTCGGAAAGGCAAGAGGAAGAAAAATGGAAAGCAAGAACAAACTTTCTGGTATGAACTAGACCCCATAAGGAAAAATAAATTTTCGGAAAAAATTATATTAAGTCAAGTAAGCCAGGCCCAAAGAAACATAGGTCCCATGGTTTCCCTTATTTGCAATAACTAGTATATGTCTGAGTCAAGCAGAAAAGGTCAGATAAGTTGAATGAAACCTAAGATATGTATTCAAATGTTTTTTTTTCTTTCATGGGATTGTTTCTAACATATTTATAATATTATTTCTTTGTTGCTTTTTATGTCCTTCCCCCATGGTATAACCCCTGATTTCACTTTGAGGTTGGTATAATTTGTGGAGGGGAAAGGATAAAACAAGTCATTCAAATAGTGATACAGGTTTATCCATTGCAACAATGAGATTTGCAAATCGTTATGTGTAAAAACAAACTTTACAACTTTGGTAGTGGGGGGAGGATTGGGTGGGGAGGCGGGAGGAGAGGATGGGAAGGGATGGGAAGGGGAAACAAAGGAGGAGGCTACAATGCTTGATAAGAAATGTACTCATTATCTTGCCCATGTAATTGTAACCCCTCTGTACAGTATTTTCACAATAAAAAAAAGAAAAAAGAAATTTTCTTATATAACTAATCTGATCAGGTGCTGTTTTGTTTTGGTACAGGACTCCACACATTTACATTTATATTCATGAGTGAGATGAGTCTGGGATCTCTGAACTCTCTTATCCAGTTTTTGTTAAAGGAAAAAGTAGAATTAAGAGAATTCTTCCTTCCGTACTGGGGTTTGAACTTAGAGCCTCATTCTTGCTAGATAAGGTCTCATCACTCTTCTGCTTAAGTTTTTTCAAATAGGGTCTCACTTTTTCAAGATAGCCTGAATTTCATCTATTTATATCTCCATGTAGCTGGGATGACAAGCTCAGGCCTCAGCATCCAGATTTTATTGACTGAAATGGGGTCCTGTGAACTTTTTCCCAGGAAAAACATGACCCTCCAATTGCAGTAGCAAGGAGACAAGAGCTAGGATTATACGTACGTATACATATACAAGATGGGGCAATTTCTTTTCTTTTTTTGTCTGTCATGGGGTCTGATCCCTGAGCCTGGGTGCTGTTCCTCAGCTTTTTAGCTCTACCACTAGAGCCACACAGCACTTCTAGCTTTTTCTGCTTATATGGTGCTGAGGAATCGAACCCAGTGCCTCCTGCATGCAAGGCAAGCGCTCTACCACTGAGCCACCTTCCCAGCCCCAGCAATTCCATTTTTAATGGAAATATTAAAGTGGGCTTATAGTAAAGATGAAGAATGAAGTATATTTAAATAATGAATGGATTAAATAGGCAATTGAAAAGCAGAGAAAAGGATACCTGATAGGGTGACATTTCAAAGATGACAAAACAGACCTAGAGGACAAATAGAGGGGCTAGAAGAAAGGATATTTGAATTACAATCAAATGCTAAGTATGCAGATCACTTAGACTTAGAAGATTAGAGGCTTAGAAGTAAAGGAGATCACATCTTGGCTCCTGTTTTCTTTACTGTAATAGTATCTATGCTCAAAAGATATTTCCACTTATTTATTTCAAAGAGCCAATAGTTGCCAGCAACTGAAACCATATATCTACATTTCAGGACATTTATAAAATTCTACAATACCAAAACATCACCATGTTCAGCACTCAAACTCACAAGCAAATGGAAATCCACGTAACCTTAAAATGCAAATTAAATCACAAAATATTACTGTCATAGAAAATGATAAATTAAGCAGAAATTTTATTTCCAAGCTTGTCAAAGATTATTACAAACAGTCTTCTTCTAAAAGTATCCCAAAACTGAGAGGCACATCATCCATGTGACATGAAGAATTCTTTTAGGTTATAATATTTTCACATTAATTTTTTTAACCATTTGCAATGTTCTGTTTGTATATCACAATTTAAACATTTTTTTTAAACAAAGTAGTTTTGGGTTGTTTTTTTTTTAAGGTACCACAACTATAAAAGAACTTAAGAAGAAAAAGATCAAATCTTCATGTACAAGATGGGGAAACTAATACATATCATTAACAATAATCTTTTCAAGTTTACTAAGATACATCTCGCAAGTTTAATGTTTAAAACAAATTACATTCTCATTAAAAATGAAAGTCTTCTCATGTAAAAAGAAAAAAAAAGACATCTTTTGATTAGTAAAGCCTATTTATCCTCCTGAATTTTATACTTCACCTTCATTTAGTAACTGTAAATTCATGAGAAAAGAACAAATTTTATTGTAGTATAAAAATCTTAAGAATACGTTACAAATACTCAGTTTTAATAAACAAAACTGTTTTCCTTCCTAAATGTAAACATCCAGTAAATAAAACATACATAATATTCCGGATATAGCAAAACCAGAACTTCACTTATGAAAGGTGTATTTTGAAATATTTGGTGGTAAAGGTGGTTGTTGGTCTTAATACAAAAGTACTTCAGCAACAGAACTAGGTCATTATTATTTAGTTCTGTACTTCTTCACTCAGTTACCTTATTTGAGTAGAAAATCATTAATTTCTGTATAACTCTAGCTATATGACCAGGCCACAGAAAAGATGTGAAATAGCTAATAAGTCATTTGGCTACAAAAAAAGTGTTTTCTTGAGACTTGGAGGCATTCATCACTTTGTACTTGAAGGCATTCCTCAATGAAACTGGAAAGAGAGTTTAATAAGATTTGTTTATAAGAGTAACTGTATAAAAGTATTAGGTTAATATAATAAAACATCTAAAACTCACCACTGGATGAACAATGGAAGTGCTGTGTTAAAAATGTTATAAGTAGCCATGTGCTGGTGGCTCACGCCTATAATCCTAGCTACTCAAGAGGCTGAGATCTGAGGATCATAGTTCAAAGCCAGCCCAGGCAGGAAAGTCCCTTAATCACTCAGGAGACTGAGATGTTAGTACGGAGGTCCAAAGCCAGGCCAGACAGGAAAGTCTGTGAGATTTGTTTTTTGTCGGTCATGGGGCCTGAACCCTGGGCCTGGGCACTGTCCCTCAGCTCTTCAGCTCAATGCTGGTGCTCTACCACTTGGGCCAGAGCACCACTTCCAGCCTTTTCTGCTTATGTGGTGCTGAGGAATCGAACCCAGGGCCTCATGCATGCAAGGCAAGCACTCTACCACCACTAAGCCACCTTCCTAGCCCCATCTTACAGAAAACTGTAAGTGGCACAGGGGCTCAAAGTGGTAGAGCACCAGCCTTGAGCAAAAGAGCTCAAGGACAGGGCCCAGGCCCCAAGTTTAAGCCCCACAACGGACCAAAAAAAAGAAAAATGCCATGACAACAGAAGACTATTTTATCTATAGTTTTGGTGCTGGTACTAAGGCTTAAACACAGGTCTTTATACTTGTACTAAGCTATAGCTGGTGCTTTACCACTTGAACCACACCTCTAATTCTGGATTTTTGCTGGTTAACTGAAAATAAGAATCTTGCAGGTTTATCTACCAGGGCTGGCTCTGAATCACGATCCTCAGATTGCAGTAGCAAGTATTATAGACATGAGCCACCAGTGCCTGGCTAGACCATTTTAATACCTTAAGTATTTTCCAGTAATAGGCACAATTGTTCCTGATAGTAGAATTACATCCTTCTTTTAAATGTAAACAATTTCCTTTTCTGTATGTAGAAAAAGGACCTAAAATGACCTACTGCATAAACATTACTTAAGACCAGTCATCTAGGCTGGGAAGGTGGCTCAGTGGTAGAGTGCTAGCCTTGAGCTGAAGAGCTGAGGGACAGTGCCCAGGCCCAGAGTTCAAGCCCAACGACCAACAACAACAACCAAAAAGTAAGTAAGACCTCAGTACAATATTCAAACTCATAACACTTCTAGTAGACCATCAGAAAGTTATTTCATCTCATTTATCAATTGTTACTTTTCTCCAATAGTTACATTTTTTTTCTTCCATTAAAACAGAAATATATTCTGAGAGCCTTTGAGGAAGGTTATGGTATACATAAGTGCGTGCCCTCTGGAGAATCCAAGACCCAAGTCAAGTGGTAACACAAAATAGCCAGTCACAACACTGGGATGGTGTAAGGATAGAATGAGGAATCAAGGTCAAGAAGTTACTAGCATTCAACTCAATTTAAGAGTTCAAGTATGGCCAGGCGTGGTGGCTCATGCCTGTAATCCTAGCTACTGAGGAGGCTGAGATCTGAGGATCATGGTTCAAAGCCAGCTCCAGCAGGAAAGGCTGTGAGACTCTTACCTCCAATAAACCACTCAGAAAGCCAGAAGTGGCACTGTGACTCAAGTGGTAGAGTGCTCGCCTTGAGCTGAAGAGCTGAGGGACAGTGCCCAGGCCCAGAGTTCAAGCCCCATGACCACCCCCTGCCACCCCCCCCAAAAAGAGTTCAAGTATGGAAGGATCTTGTCATCTCATGATTTAGAACCAAAGGTAATCAGCTTCCCTAATGAGGTACAGTCTACAGGCAGGGTACCTACAGACTCGAGTCACCCTTTAGGGAAAGTTGTGCATTTTGCTGGTCTTTTAATTCTCCCCAGAATAGTAACTAAGGAAAAATCCTCAGTTGCCCAAATCCTTTGAGAAGCCCTGTGATACTACGCTGGTCCCAAGATGCTATGATGCGGCATCACTCACCAGTCTTTTAAAACAAAGCACAGGACCTGGGTTCCCGGAAGGGATTGCTCCCTGCTGGAACCCCCACCAGCAGTGCGTCCTTGCAGGCATTCTGAATGCAGTACTGTTGAAGATCTGCAGCTGCCTGGGAGACCTGAAACAAAGGCACAACATGACTTGCCACTTACAGCCAGACCCAGCCGGGAGTCAGCTGACACCCTGAAAGTGATCGTACAACCTGATAAACGTCACACTCTGCACAACATCCAAGGTTCTTTTTTGGCCGATTCTAATCAATGGATTCTAAAGAAGAATGGTTATAACGTCTGTGATTTAAGTCAGAATAGTCATGCTTTAATTTTATTTAACAAAGGTAGGAAAATGCTGTATCTTTGATCCATTCAGAACCCTAGTTTTGCTGAAGGTATGGCTCAGCGGTAGAGTATCTGTTTAGCAAGTATGAGGACTTGAGTTTGGTGGTACCTCAGTACTGCCACAAATAACCCTAGTTTTGAGACTAAAATGGGAAAGAAATAGCACAGTCCTTAGTTCCCTATATGAATATATATAGCAGTCAACTATATGTCCAAGTTACCATAAGAACAAACTGCTTTAATGTTTTGAAAACTGGAATCTTAAGCCTGCTCAAGAGATGAAGTTCTTCCACCATGTTTTTGATTTAGTGTAACATACTGGTTAAGAATGCAGTCTGGATGGGTGCCAGTGGCTCACTCTTGCAATCCTAGCTACTCAAGAGGATAAGATCTGAGGATTGTGGTTCGAAGCCAGCCTGGGCAGGGAAGTCTATTCAACTCTTATTTCCAATAAAAACTACTCAGAAAAAGCTGGAAGTGGCGTTGTAGCTCAAGTGGTAGAGCACTAGCCTTGAGCACAAAGAGGCTCAGGGACAGTGCCCAGGCCCTGAGTTCAAGTCCCAGGACCAGCAAAACATAAAAAATAAAAAAGAATGCTCAGCCAGGTGCTGGTGGCTCATGCCTGTAATCCTAGCTACTCAGGAGGCTGAGATCTGAGGATCATGGTTCAAAGCCAGTCAGGGCAGAAAAGTCCAGGAGACTCTTATCTAAAATAAGCCACTAGAAAAATTGGAAGTGGTGCTGTGGCTCAAGTGGTAGAGCACTCGCTTTGAGCTGTAGAGCCCAGGCCCAGAGTTCAAGCCCCAGGACCACCACCACCAACAACAAAAAACAATGCTTAGTAATTAAGCGCTCACCTAGTGTGTGTTAGGCCCTGAATCTCATCCCCAGTACTGAAAAAAAGAAAGGAAAAAAGATGCAGTGTCGACAACTGGATTGCCTAGACTCAAATTCAGCCCTGTCACTACCCATCTGACCTTGAGCAAGTTATTTAACTTCCCTGTACCTGTTTTCTCATTTGTGCAACATATTTAGTAACACCATTTCCTTGGGTTGATGTACCAAATATAGGGAGTTAATTAACCCCGGTTAAGCTCTAAGCTAACACATAATTTGCTGTATATTGGTAGGAAATAGCAAAAACATGGTCACAAGATCTTCTAGTTCTTCCCACCAAGATGCCTTGTTTCAAACAGTAACATGTAGCTACCCACCATGTGGCACTAGCACCTCGAATGAGCCCAATCTAGCCTACCAGAGGTAGGAACATGAAAGAGAACCAGCCAGTCCCATCTGCCAACTTCAGAACAGTGAATGAGAAGACACCAACCAAACCCACATCTGATTGCAGATGCATGAGAAATCCATATGCTTATTTTGGAGACAGAGCCTCTTGGACTTTGCTGCCTAGGCTGGCTTCAAACTGCCATCCTCAGATCTTAGCCGCCGGAGGAGCCAGCAGTACCTGCTGCTGCGCTTGCAGATAGCTACTTGGAGGCTTCTTTCTTGAAACTGCATTTCTCTCAAAATGCAAAGGTGTTTTGTATAAAAACGCACACTAGAAAAAATGGTTCAACTGCTCTTCAAATATTACTATTAGTTTGTGTTTTCCAAGCCTCCAAATAAATGAAGTACATAGTAACTGCTGCTATGGGGTAGATGTGGTTTGAATATGCCCCCACAGGTTTAAGTGTTGAAATTTAATTCCCATTGTGTGGTATTAAGAGGATGGAAACTTAATCTGACTGTGGTGCTACTCCCTGATCTCAACCGCTCCAACCTATCTATCCATGTACTTCCTTCATTCTCTTGTTCTTTGATCTCCCCTCGTTTGATCTCCCCCATCATCTTCACTGAACAGCCCAGGTTTCCTGACCAGAAGCATTCTGGCCTCTAGCCCCACTCCACCTTTCTGGCATATCTCCCTTGCTCATTCACCTCTTGGATCAACCACCATCACCCTCAGAATCCTAGGTGGATAAATGCTGCTGAAGAAAAAAAAAATCACCAGCAGCCAAAGGGTCTCCAATCTCACAGCTTCTGGGTCCTCAGAGTCACAGGATGTCTACAGATGTGCCTGCTTGGCGCCTACTCTCTTCACAAACACTGCTGCACCCTTCCACACATACACGTCTCCTCCTTCCTACAAGATACCTTGGCCTGTATTTTCGCAAATAAAAGTCATACACGTCTGTCAGCCCAAATCCTGAAACATCTGTCTTTCCACCATAGCCTTTCTTCCCTTCTTCCTGACTCAAAAGGTTCTTGTTCAATCCCAGCTTAGGCCCCACAGATGCCATCTCCTCGACCTCTCCATTCCTTTCTTCCTTTTTGCTCTAAAAATGCTCCTTCCTCTCCACTACAAAATACTTTTCATTTTCTAAGTTAAAAGTTCTTTAAGAACTAGATTTTAACAAAAATCATCCTACTCTCTTAGAATCCACATACTATGGTGACACAGCACCGAAAATGTTCAAATTCCCTTTACCTTCCCTTGCTATCATTTCACTGGCTGGTTACTTTACGATCTTCTAGAGGAGCACCAGGTATGCTGAGCAGGTACTACTACTCAGGACAGACAGAGTGGGGGCGTGCTACACACACACACACACACACACACACACACACACACACTGGTTGCCAAACCCTCTTGCACAACAGACTCCCTTAGCCAACCATCTAACCATGGATTACTAAGGTCTCGACTTAAAAACCCATCCTTCCTTTTCTCCTGCTTCCTCTTCTCCGCCATCTACCTTCCCTGGACTCCGGCCCCCAGGTACCGCGCTTTTGACACCCGCACGTTTCAGTAACATCTTCCAGCCTCGTGAACACACACGTCTCGAGATCGAGCTCAAGGCCCACCCAGCCAAAGGAGCCCGCTTCCCGCAAACTCGCTCCGCAGCCACCCGCCCCGGCGCCGGAGCCCTGGGCGCCCTTCCTCTTCCCGGCCCCCGGCCTTCGCCACCCCCGGCGCGGCGCGCGCTCCAGCCCGCATCCTCCCCATCTCCGGACCCAGCCGAGTCCCGGCCTCCCCCGCGAGTCGCCCGCACCCCGGGGCCCCGTCGGAGGCTCTGCCCACGCGGTAACGGGCAGGGCGAGACCTCGGCACCAGGGCCGGGCCTCCCCGGAGCCACAGGTCCGGCTCGCGCTCGGGCCCGGGTCAGTAGCCATTTCCGCCGGCCCAGCCTCCGGCCTCCTCCCCGCCCCGCGCCGAGCCCAGGGACGCGAGCGCCGGTCTCCGCCGTGCCGCGAGGCGCGCGCCGCCGGGCGGCCTCACCTTGATCCGCTCCACGCCGGCCTCCAGCTTCAGTTGCTCCACCAGGCGCTGCAGGGCGCTCACGCTGGCCCCGGAGGACATGGCGGCGGCCGTGGGGGATCGGAGGGCGGCGGGGGGGATCGCAGGGCGGTGGAACCGGACTG